CCAACTTTAGAGTTGAATTATGGCTTTCAGAACTGGAAGCCCATCGCAATCGAACTATATCCACAATGATATTCCACATGGACCTGCCTGTTCTCTTGGCAACGGTATTGGTGGCTGGTGAATTTCTTTCTGGTACCTCTGTCTCAACAGGTTCCTGAACAGATGAATCCGTCACATTCCATATTTCATCTGAAGGCCCTTTTACACCAGAATTCCGGGAAGAGCGCCATGAGTCAGACTCCCTAGACTTAAAGTCTCCAGAACCATAATGACTTGAGCTTTTTTCCTGATGCTTATGGCCTTCATTCACCAACTCTGTTTCGGAAATTCTACTTTCCTTTTGGATTTCAGAACTTGAGACTTCGTGTGTCATCTTCTCAACAAACTCACCCACAAAGTGCATGGAGGATTTCTGTAATCGATCAGCAGAACCCAGTGCATCTTCATGAGAAATAATGTACGACGGCTCCACGTGGAGCACACCAATTTGTTGCACTGTAGGTTGAGTTTTCAATATCAAAGATGCTCGGGAACTAGAGGCCTCTTTTGAAGTTTCCTCACTGAAACTCAATGCCTTAGTGGGCCTTTGAGCCTCTTTTCTTGATCCAATTTGAACGACTCTTTCATCGGTCTGATTATGTCTTTCTGCGGTTTCCTTGGTCGATTTCACCATCAATGTCGAATATGTTTCTTGACTACTCATTGTCTTTTCAGACTGCCTTTGAGTGTTAGTAACTTGAGCATCACTCGAATGATCAAGTACTGCACTGCTCACATCTTGGGATCCTTTTCTTGATTCTGTTCTCCTAATAGCTTTTTGACCTGTTTGGAACTGTTGTCTGTTGGCATCCACAAATGAACTATCAGACTGCCTCAACGAAGCTGAAGTGTTATCAATATCAATCTCGTGCATATCTGATACTTCAGTCAACTGTTTTCTTCTATATTCCATCTGTCTGGAGTCCAATTGACTTGTTAAATGGGCTTGCTCTTGCATGTCCTGAACCGAACTCAAAATCAATGTTGATTTGTTGTCTATGTTCTTCAAACTAGATTTAGACTGTCCCTGTGAGCTATAGGTCCCTTTAACATTGATTCCTTGAATTTCTGACACTTCACTGAGTTGCTGGGAATTTCTTCTATAGTCATCTTTTCGGCTAATAGGGCCAGCCGTTTTAGCATGTTCATGTCTTGTTTCCCGAACCAACCCTTCTGCACTTATGTTTGCTTCCTTACCGCTGAAATGCTTGTCATCAGAGCTAGAAATTGCTTCAATATCACTGCTACGGATCTCCTGCATTCCAGTAGAATGTTTGTACTCCACTCTTGATTCAGACTGTCCAGCAATTTGGTCACTTCTTTGACTATATCGCTGTCTTGTTCCACCATCAATACTCACACCCAAAGTTGACTTTTCTTCCTTTTCATCAAATTTCTTTTGAGAAGAAAAATCCATTCTATAACCAGATTCGTGGACTTCCGATAATCTTGTGTGCTTCTGTAACGATTCTTCCCTAGACTCCGTTTGTTCAATCGACTCTTCAGCAAGTTTTTTCTCAGTTGCTTTTCTCCAATCACATTCAACACCACTTGATGCTGCATACAACCCTACGGGAATTTTTTCTTGTTGCATAACAACCCCCTGTCTCTTTACATCTTCCTCAATTTCCCCCTCATATGTCGCTTCTCCACTTTTCACTGAATCCCTTTTAAACCCACTTGTCAATTCCCCTCCATATCCCTCTTGCCTAGCCTGAACTTCAACATCACCCTCAAATTCTCCTAACGAAGAACACGAGTAATAAGAAGAGCAACTAGATCTGGATCCTTCTTTCCTCGCCCTACGCTTCTCACCCCTCAAACAATTTTCCTTATTTTCTTTTTGTCTACAATCCTCTTCCCTCAATTGAATCCTAACAGATGCAACTTCGCTCTTCGAATTACTCTCCAACAAACCCGAACCAACATTTTTCTTTTTACTACTGTAAGAAGTACGACCACCATTACTTCCCTTCTCCACTTCCACCCTCCTAGACGAACTACCACTTCTCTCCCTAAAGAGAAAACACTCCTCACCCACTACCTCAGTCAACAAGCTGAGAATTACTTCCACATCATCATCGACACAGTGCGAATGATGTCTCTTTCTCTTTTCCTCCGAAACCATACCCTTAAATCTTCCCTCTTCCCACCTCCCTCTTCTACCACTAACACTCCTCACCTTGAGAGGGCTTACATACCCACAACAACAACTACTCCAACCCGTCTCGTGAACCGGAAACCGGTGATAATACCGGTCTCCACCACCCAAAATCAGCCTCCCAGTACCTGACCACTGAATCAGAGCAGATTGGCCCAACCCATATGAAAAGCTAGGGCTTATGGGACATCTATATTGAGAATTTGCACAACAAGAACAGCATGATTGTGACGATAATGGAATTGGGTTTCTATCAAATCTATCATTCAAGTAAGAGCAGTCATTGAATGAAAAGGAAAGTGACCCATTACACCCAAGTGATAGAGTTGAACTAACATAAGTGTTGTACATTTCTTGATTTGTGTTCTCTAGAGAGAAAGAGATAGAGAGAGAGAAGATCTTACCTTGTTGGGTTCTGGGGAGTTAGTCAAATTGGTGAACTTTAATGGAGTTCATGTGAGTTTGTAGAGATCAGATTTTTGGAGACAAAAGTGAAAGATAGAGGTTCCGAATCCGATTGTGCAACAAACGTGCAAAGTGGCTGAGTTGACACCGGAGCTGGCTCCGAGTACAAATCGGTTTAGCCTTTATTTTATTATTCGGATAAATTATAAATACACCCTTGAGTTTTGATAAAATACAAATTGCCCAGTATTTTAGAAAATTACAAATATTTCAAAAAAAATTATTTAATAGAATTAATAAAAAAAAAAAAACAATTTTCTAACTACTTTTTTATACAACAATAAAATTATAGGAATTTTTATTTAAAATATATTTCTAACATCATTAAATCTATTAATTGACTTGATAATTTATTAATAAAATGAATTATTTGTTATACGATTATAAACTTGAAGAGATGTGATGTAATTTTCAAAACTGTAAGAAGCAATTCATATTTTAAATAAATTTCAGTGAATGTGTTTATAATTTTATTATTATTATATTTTGAAAATAAAGATAAATAACTTGACATCGATTCATGTTAACTTGATAAAATTTTATTTAAAATCAATTTGCTATGTGGATAACTTAAATTTAAACAAATTTTATATGAAATTTTAAAATGAAATTTGTCAAATTCTTTCCATTCGATAATTTTATATGTATTATAAAAAATTAAATTACCTGACTCACTTCTTGTCAATTTAATTACAATTCATTTGAAATCAATTTTAAAAAATTTAATTCAAACTTAAACATCTTTAAAAATTTGTTAAATTTTAAGTCAAATTTAAATAATTTATTAATTATCTTAATTCGACTAATTTATAGTCCTATAAAAAATTAATTAAATTTAATGGAGTATATGCGTTAATGAAAGCAGAGGAGAAGTGAATATTGAGAATCAAGAACTGTCTAAGAGTGAACATTTTCGTTATTTAGGGTCGATTATCACAACAGCGGGGGAGATTGATGCGGATGTGGCCCATAGGATTAAGGCGGGATGGTGTAAGTGGAAAAGTGCGTCTGGGGTACTGTGCGATAAACAAATACCTATTAGACTTAGAGGCAAGTTTTATAAAATGGCTATTAGGCCAGCGATGTTGTATGGGACGGAGTGTTGGGCAGCCAAGAAACAACATGTAGATAAGATAAGTGTGGCTGAGATGAGAATGCTAAGGTGGATGTGTATCAAGACTAGACAAGACAGAATTAGGAATCAGGGTTGTGGAGATATAATTTTTTGAATGACAACACGTGGCCGAGATGTCATCGAAGTGCCAGCCGAGGTGCCACGTGCCCTGGTTATGACGCCGAGATCATCTCGGCTAGGCTGAGGTTATCTGCGAAGATACCGGAATCCGGGATAATCGGATAAAGGACAAGAGTCCTAGAATGAGAGAGGACTTCAGTTTGGGTAAAGATAAAACTCTTAGAGAGTTTATCTCAATCCTACTGGGAGTCCAAGATTAGCAGTAATCCCAAGTCCATTGAAGCTGGGCTTCTAATGGGACTAGGTTTGTGTTGACTATAAAAGAGAGGCACCCTCATGGGTCTAAGGTATGTTTTTTATGTTTTGAATAGTGAGTTAAGCACTTTTGTTATCTTTGAGAGATAACTGACTTGATCGTCGGAGTGCCCCCGGTGGACGAACCACCGCCGAAATCTCTTATTTTCTGTGACAGATCGTTCGGGCAATCTATTCTGCCGGTGTTCTACAACTGAGTACTAGTTTGGTAGTGTGGTCAGAAATTGACACACACAATTTGGTGCCGTCTGTGGGAAAGAAAGGAGAATAGATGGCCAATGACGGACAGAAAGAGAAGGTTGGGGACGACACCCCTGCTGGGAGTGAGAAACACATTGACCTCGATGTCGAAGAAGATAACTGCAACGAAGAGACTCGAGATAAGAATCACACAGAAAAGAAAGTCGGCCAAGAGGGCGACGTATCAAAGAAATCAGACCGAAGCGAGTATTATAACGAGAATGACCTCTAGGTATGGAAGGATAGATGCCTGCAAGGGGACGACGAGATGAAGGGAATGGCGAACAAATTGGCAAACCTACAAACGGTCGTCAATTTCATGATGCAGAAAAACGTCATGCAGTCACCGTTCCCTTTCCAAGATACGCCGATTCCAGTGGCCAAGAAAAGTGCCCAGAAAGGGGGGCAGAATACAGTCCCACAGTACACCAGGACCGAAAAACACTCTCACTGGCCTTCCAGGGAGGTTGGGTGAGGAGAGTCAAGAAAGGAAGAATCTAGGAGGACGCATCGCACCAAGGAAGCTGACCCCAAAGAACATCGGCATGTTCAAGGACAGGAGCTGTGCTTCGACGCAACTAATGGAGAAAGGTCCAAAAGGACTCACAATGACACTAGAAGTAGTGCACTAAAGAGGCTGAAATCCGGGGATAGTCGAGCTCCTGGACGAACCAAGGAGGATCTAAGGGATTACCTCCAGAGAAAGCGACAAGATGCCGAGGTGACATCTCCGATCAAGCCGAGGACATCCGTTCTCGGTAGAGTTGGACAAATTTGAGGCCCCGAAAAGGTTCCACACGCCGAGATTCCAAATATTCGACGGTAAGTTGGACCCGAACTTTCACGTCGGCTTGTACCTGAACTCGATGGCATTATACACCGGGAACGAGCCGTTGCTCTGTAAGGTGTTCCCCTCGTCCTTTGGGTAAATCGTATCGGACTGGTTTCACTTGCAGAAAGAAACTGTGAAAACCTGGGAGGACCTGGCCGAGATGTTCGTGGTCAGGTTTGTAACAAACAAACTACAGCCGTTAATGGTGAACTCCCTGATGGCTTTGAGAATCAGTGAGGATGAAAGCCTTTGGGCTTATGCCAAGAGGTATTATAAGGTGTTCAACCAAATACCAGGATGCAACCAAGAGGTGGCGGTCGTGTCCTTTAAGAACAGCCTGAAAGATGACTGTCTGTTTCGAAAATCACTGGCAAAGACACTGCCAAAGAGCATGGAGGAACTCATGACCAGAATTGAGAAGTATGCAAGGGCCGAGGAAGACACGCGGGGTAGAGGGTTGGAGAATAATGCTTGGGAGTTGGAATTTACAAGCTAAGGTTGGTTTAACACTTGTTGAAATTTTAAGAAAATTTACAAGTTGAAGTTAAACCGAGGTCATGTTTAACACTTGTTGAAATTTTAAAAATTTACAAGTTGAAGTTAAACTGAGGTCATGTTTAACACTTGTTGAAATTTTAAGAAAAATTTACAAGCTGAACTTAAACCGGGGTCATGATTAAAGGAAGGAATGATATGGATTCCATCACCTTAGGATGGCAAGGTAATAGAACCTAGGGGGTATTTGTGGGGATATAATTTTTTGAATGACAACACGTGGCCGAGGTGTCACCGAAGTACCAACCGAGGTGCCATGTGTCCTGGTTATGACGCCGAGATCATCTCGGCTAGGCCGAGGTTATCTGCGAAGATACCGGAATCCGGGATAATCAGATAAGGGACAAGAGTCCTAGAATGAGAGAGGACTTCAGTTTTGGTAAAGATAAGACTTTTAGAGAGTTTATCCTAATCCTACTGGGAATCCAAGATTAACAGTAATCCTAAGTCCATTGAAGCTAGGCTTCTAATGGGACTAGATTTGTGTTGGCTATAAAAGAGAGACACCTTCATGGGTCTAAGATATGCTTTTTATGTTCTGAATAGTGAGTTAAGCACTTTTGTTATCTTTGAGAGATAACTGACTTGATCGTCGGAGTGCCCCCGGGTGGACGAACCACCGTCGGAATCTCTTATTTTCTGTGATAGGTCGTTCGGGCAATCTATTCTGCCGGTGTTCTACAGCTGAGTACCAATTTGGCAGTGTGGTCAGAAATTGACATACACAAGTGTATTCGGGAATGAGTAGAAGTAACACCGATAGAAGATAAGTTGAGAGAGAATCGATTGAGATGGTTTTGTCATATTCAACAGAGATAATAATGAAGAGATGCGATGCTGTAACGGTAGATGGAAGTGTTAGGGGATGGGGTAGGCTTAGATTAACGTTGGTTAGCGTTGTAAATAGAGATATGGATCTACTTAATTTGACTAACGAAATGTCCTTTGATAGGGCCTCGTGGAGAAGAAAGATTCATGTAGCCGACCCTATTTGATGGAACTTAAGGCTTGGTTTGGTTTGATTTTAGTTTGGTTACATGCGATAATTATGCCTTAAACACATTCTAAAAAAATTTGTGGACGGAATAGTCCATGGCCTTGAGCACATACCTCAATTATATTAAAGCGCATTTCTCACTTATATTCCATAGATTTATAATTAATTTCCTCATTTCATAGAACAATTAAAGGTTGCTTCCATTTTTTTTTTTAATTTTCTAGTGACTTATTGTCAAGACAATATTTTATGAATAGACCAAAAATAAAATTTATACTCTGAAAATCAAACCTTCTTAATTAAAATTGAAATTGAAAAAAATAATTTTTGACATGGGTAAGCCCATAAAGATTATAGCCCACCGTTTAGGGCTCAATACATATCTCAAATACTAAAGCCCAGCACTACTAAAGCCTCACATAGCAATAAGAACCAAGGACATCAAGACACGTAGCGAGAGAAGGGCAAGCCACATCAACAGACAAAGATCTGCAAAGTTATTGCCACGGCACATCGCCATTAATGAGGCCCCTCACAGCATTTATTGCGATAACCCCTCTCCGTCGGGACAGCACGGCCACACCCTGAACAAGGTAAGCTACAGCATAGACTTTCGGCCAAGGTGACAGGTCGGAAGGGACAACGAAATGATTACCAGAGGATATAAGCAGACGTTGAAAACAAGAAGAAGGTTAAGCTTTTCTATCTCTAGTCTATCTCTACAATCCACTTTTCTTCCTAACTTGTTCGTCGGAGAGTTCGCTGGGGGACTCCCCGTTCCCCATTGGACTTTTGTGCAGGTTCCTCCGTAGGCTTGGTCATTCGGACGTAGGCTTGAGGAGCGTGGATCAGTCCGACCTGTCCTATCATCACGAACTGTATCATCAGTTGGCGTCGTCTGTGGGAATCGCTTTGCTCCGTGCACCAGTTGTTCTCATTGTCATCGGAAACCCTGTCCCAACAA